AATAAAATTCTTTCCTTTATAAATCACACAGTCCCAGATATTCTGCTACAGCAAAACAACAGCAAGAATTACAGCCTCTGGGACAGGAGTCACCTGTGTTTCTCCTTTGCTACCAAAGCAATAAAACTTCTTTTTCCTTTTTCTCAAAACCTGTTGTCTTTACTGGATTGGCTTCAGGGACAAGGACCAAGATTTCAGTGACAAATTTAGCACCACACCCAGATGGGACCTGAAAGCAGCCCCTGCTCCAGCTTTCTTGGGCAGGCTTGATTCTCCAAGCAACCTCACTTCTAAGCTGAGGATGCAAAGTAGCTGGCCAACTAAATTGTTGAGAGCCAACTTCGGGAGAGTAAGAAAACAGGTGAGTTTGTCTCGGGTCGAACCAGAGGAGCTATTCTGGTGAGCAAAGGGAACTGAGGGAATAACTGAGGAGTTTTGGCAGCTGCCAAACTCCTTTTGCTTTGGGGAACTCCTGCCTTCTCTCCCTGAATGGTACAGATTGCTCCATGGTGATCCACTTTGAGAAAAAGGAAACTGAACTCAGTAAAGTTGCAACACCCTTGGACATCCCATAAATCCCTTGGTGTGTATGCAAGACCCTTGAGTCCACACACCTGGTCCTTCTTTGTGGGGACATCTGTGGTGCCACTGGTATAAGAGTCATGGTTAAGCAGGACTCCAGAACCTAGGGATATTTACTTCCTTCTGGTCTGTTCTAGGTTCTCATCTGTTTGTTGACCTTGGGTTTGGGAATTTCCTCTGGTTGTCTGCCTGTGTTTTTGTTTATATCTGTTACTGCCTTCTTTTAAGACATGGCCAATACTGCACTGATACTATAGGTAGTCTTTTGGGAAAGATCTTGACTGGTTTATTTTAAAGGTTTACATCTGTCATCCGTGGTTGTGGGGCTCCTCTCTGGTTGTCTGTTTCTTTTTTATACAATCTTGCAATTGTAGTTGGTCTGTCAGAGGCAAAGTAAGTTGAAGATAGAGCCATCTATAGGTATAAGCCTGTCTAAGATAATGTTTTACTGTAATGATCTAGCTTTTGAATAGCTTTCTGAATTATTATACAATCTTGCAGTTGGAGTTGGTCTGTCAGAGGTAAAGTAAGTGGAAGAAATTTGTATGTGTGGGTCTATCTGTTTTAAAGGTTTCCATCTGTCAGCCATGATTTCAGGGATCCTCTCTGGTTGTCTTTCTGTGTTTCTTATTTTGTATCTGCTACTGACTCTTTAGGACATGGACCATGCTATGTTGATCTTACCAGAAGTCTCTTGAGAAGAAAGATCTTGGACTACCTATAGGTATAAGCCTGTCTAAGAAAAAGATGTTTTACTCTAACATAATCTAGCCTTTGCGTGGTTTAGCCTGAGCTATGTTTTTCTGAGTAAAGGGAAATACTGTAGAAAAAGTGAATTATTATAACTATTTTTTTTCTTTTTTCTATTTTTTTTTTCCTGTGGTGGTAGGAACTGAAACCAGGTCCTCACGCATGCTAGGCAAATACATCATGAGTTACAGCCCCAGTCCCTGTGATTATTATTTTAAAGAATGAATAGTCAATTTTATGAATGGTAGAAAGAAAAAAGAGCTTGATGGTGGGAGAGTGAAGACTTTAAAATGGCTAAAATAGGTTTGTCTGTGAGCGGCAACTGGTACATGGAAACAACACAGAGAATGGATCCAGATGGTGATGAGCCTAGGTAATTTGAATTTAGAGTTTTATTGAACAGATAAAGAATAAGTGAGGAGGGGCTGGGGTTGTGGCTCAGAGGTAGAACGCTTGCCTAGAATGTGCAAGGCCCTGGGTTCAATCCTCAACACCACATAAAAATAAATAAACAAAATAAAGGTATTGTGTCCAAATATAACTAAAAAATAAAATATTAAAAAAAATAATTGAGGAATGCAAGAAGCTAAAAAATGACTATTGTAAATTAAAATGATTAACAATTACTCAAGTAAACCTTAGGTTTGATTCAATTACTAATAAGTTTTAGTATGTGTTAAAATGAATTTGAATTATATACCTCATTTATCCTATAATAGACATTGTTAAGTATTCATGTTTATGCTATTTTACAACTCAGTCCCTATTGTTTGAAGACTTAAGATAATTAATCTAGGCCATTTGCCAAAAGAATTTCTTTATTATTTTAATTAGTACTTGCTGTTTATAAAGCCTAACAGTTTGAAATTTGTTTCCAGATTAATCAGACCGGATAATAAAATAAATTTAAGTGTAAATTCAGTGAGAAGGATTCTAACTACAAGCCAGGGTCTATGCTAGCTTTTTTTTTTTTTTTTTTTTAAGAAAAAGGAAAAAGAAGTTTTATTGCTTTGCTAGTGAAGGGGAAACACAGAGGACTCCTGTCCCACTGCTGTGATTCTATCCGTTGGCAGGAACAAGGAGCTTTTAAAGATGAGATTTAAAGGCTACATTCCAAGTGCTCTTTGTTGGAGTTGTAATTCACTTGTTAATTTGGAAGACAGTCATTTTTTGAGATCTACAGGTAACATCCCCCAAAACATCCCCAAAGTCTGCCTAAAATGGGGAAGAAAGGTAGTCCTGTTTCCCCTGAGATTAGGGAAGAGGAGAGATCAGGGAGGCACAAGGAGAAAGAGAAAGAAACACATTCGTTTTAAAAATAAATTACAATGGAACAGCAGCAAGGGATATTCAAAGCGTAAAGTGGACCACTTTTACATTTCCCCACTGTCAATTTCTACATTCCATTTCTATAGAAAAATGGGCAACAACATCTCCAAACTGCTTCCCACTGAAAGAGGGGAAAATAACCCAAAGTCCTAGTTCTCTATCAAGTGGGATGTGCACAATTAATTAAGGGTATTCAGCATCAGGCTTATCATTAATTCACTCATCCATTCACTCCTGGGCATATTCATTCACCAGCACTTGGTTCCTGACAAACCCTAAGTAGAGAGAAGATTTTTAAATGTTCATTAGCTAAGTGGATTCATGTAACCACAAATATTTCCATTTCCCAAACACTTCAAGTATCAGCATTGTATAAGATCTATGTTAAAGTTATATGAATTTATCAGGCCTTTATCAGAGGTATATACATCTGAAAATGGCCTGATAAGCCTCTTAAAATCATCCATAATTACTGATAATAAAAAAATCATCCATAATTACTGATAATAAAACACCAGAAACAAGATTTTAAAACTAAAGGAAAATTTCAGAAAAATATTCACAAATGAGAACCAAAAGATTAATCAGCTTTTTAAAAGTACAAGAAGAATAGTCTGGTAGTAAAAGGCACAAAGGATACATAAACAGGCAATTCACAGGATACAAATAGCACTAACAAATATATAAACATACTTAGTTTCACTAAAGAATTGCAAATTAAAATAATATAATTACATTTTTTTTTAAGCAGGGGTTCATAAGGGCATACTTGTATGAGTATTAGCTATAAAAATTAGAACTGCTCTTCTGGAGAACTTCGAAATATAAATAAAAGTAAGTAATATGCATAGGTTTTGACTTTCAAATTCTACTTCTATAAATGTCATCCTAGGAAAACAAAAGGAAATATATTTATACATCTTAAGTGTAGATATGTATAAGAATTTCACTGCAAAATTATTTATACTTATAAGAAAAAATACAAATTAGCTGATAAGGGATACATCAGACTGCTATGTAGCCATTACAAGAGAAAAGGTAGAATTTTATGTGTGGATAGGTAATAATACATTGTTACAAGAAAAAAATGCTATGAAATGATATGACTATATTAAAATCATTTCATATCAGAATCAACCAAGTGAAATTATTACAGAGATAATAGTGAATCCACTCTAAGGTATTTTTAGATTGTTTCAAAATGTGTCAAGACTACACAGTTGAGAATTTCTGGACTACATTATCCAGTTAGGCCCCTCCAGCTCTAAAATTCTTTAATCCTAAGAATCTTTAACACCAGCGATCTTTGTGTCTCTTCTGTATGCTTAAGTGCCTCTTATCAAAATGCAACACAAAAATACTAACAACGTCTATAATTTTAAATCTATTGCAAAATTTAATTTTAACATCATACCCTTGATTGTCAATGACAATTCATGTTGAATATGCTCATTTTATGTAAACCATAAATTATATCTGTCTCTTCAATAATAATGTAAGAGCCATTATATTTTGAAAAAAAATAAAAAAATAATAAAAGGCTTTTAACATTTAAAGAGACTTTTTTTGGGGGGGGGGGGGGGCAAGGGGGGGTTGGTGGGGTACTGGGGATTGAACTCAGGGGCACTCAACCACTGAGCCACATCCCCAGCCCTATTTTGTATTTTTTTTAAGAGACAAGGTCTCACTGAGTTGCTTTTGAACTGGAGATTTTTCCATCTCAGCCTCCCAAGCTACTGGGATGACAAGCATGCGCCACTCTGCCAGGCTAAGTGACAAATTTTAACAATAAACTCTGCTATAAATGGTACACATAACCCAAAAATGCTGAGTACAAATCAAATGCTATTAGAGGGCAATTACAAAGAACAATGGAGCACCTGTGAAGTGGGCAGAACTGGTATTTAGAGTCAAAAGATTTGGAAATAAAGACCACTCTTTTGGCTCCAGAATCCCAAGCAAACCAAATAACCTGAGCTTCAACTGCCACTTTTGCAAAATAAAGATAACTATAATAAAAGAAATATGCCTGAAAAAAGATGCATAACACAGTGCCTTGGATAAAATAAGTCATTCAAATATTTGTCTAATAGAAATAGTTGCAATACTGTTGCTTTGTAAGAGTTGTAAAGATATCATCACATATTTTGCTCACTTAAATTTTTGTAACTCTGCATGAAAACTATCTTATTTTATTTATATACCACATATTAGAAAGGAGCTTCTTGTCCCCCCAAAAGTCTACTTGTTGGCATTGTTTTTTTTTTTTTTTCTTTCCTCACTCAATCTGCAATAACTTGTTATCTCAGAAATGAAACTAAGGGAGAATGCATACTTACAAAGCACACCCCCAAAACTTCTTGTTGCTCTCCTCTGAGCTCAGTGCTCTTCTAAGGCACATATGTCTGCCTCCTATCATTTCTTCATGAAGTTCAGGGCAAAAGATTTAGTCAGTAGATGATATTTGGGTGCCCTTGTATTTTCCCCAAGCCACCTACAGATAAAGAAAACAAGGGATAACACATACCTACAACTTTAAAATTTTTAATGTTTTTAAAAAAAATGTGAAAAGTAGGCCAACTTCCTTATGTGTGGATTATAGCATATCAGAGAACAGAAAAAAATGCTCCTAGGGTCATCCAAATGCCCAAGTGACTTTACTGGAATCCTTCATATGCAAGTGCCCTGCCAGCATACTCCTTACAGATGGCTTCTGCCTGTGCCTAGTCACCCTTGAGCTTACTTGACCATGCTGCAGTGTGAATTGTAGTCCAAGTGTAGTCAAAAGTCCTTGAGCATGTCTATTGTTGGTAAAATCAATCAGGTTAAAGAATTAATACGTTATTTCTGAATTGATGGCCCAATTATATTCCCAAGCCAGTCTAAGCCTCTTTAAAAGAATATTTTATACATAGCCCAGTTCTTTTCACACATAGGATTGCACAAAAGTAAGTAAAAGTAAATAAAAGTGAAATGTCTTTGGCTGAAAAAAAAAGAGTTAGACAGAAATATTTTCAATTCTTTGTTACTATTTTGGAAATAGTCTCTTAAGAATCCACAGATTATCATCAGAGAGAACTGTAGCTATCCATGTAAAAAACAGTCCTTTTAAAAGTTAATTTAAAAAAAAAAAAACTGTTGAAAGATACTTCAAAATTGCCCATTATACGAAGGCAGAAGGACATAAGAGGATAACAGGTGCAATAATAATAATAAGCACAACAAAATTTCTCTGGGCCAGTGTAAAACTGTCAAAGTTTTAATCTTCTCCTCCTGCTGTCCAATACAGCAGTAACTAGCCACATATGGTTACTGAGCTCTACAAATCTGGCCAGTTCAAATTGACATGTGCTATAAATGTAAGACACACTCCATAGGGCTAAGGATTTAGCTCAGTTGGTAGAGTGCTGGTCTCACATTCATAAGGCCCTAGGTTCAAGCCCAGCTAACACACACACACAAAAAAAAAAAATACAAGATTTTGAGACTTAGTACTTAAAAAAATGTAAAATATCTCAGTAGGTTTTATATTTACTATGTTGGATACATTGACAAGTAAATTATTAAAAATAATTTCACCAGTTTCTTTGTACTTTTTTAATGTGGGTATTACAAAATTTTTAATTATCAGTGTAGTTCCCATTTTAGTTCTATTAGACACTGTTCTATATAATCAATAACAATAATTAATAAATACTGAGCACTTGCAACATTGTAATTGTCTGGTTTTACAGGACGTCTGCGTGAGACACTAGGTTCATCAAACCAATAAAGGATGCAGTTGGTACTCAAGGTCCGATATCCCTAAGAAACAATCCAAATAAGAGACTGCTAACGGCTGAGATTGGGGCAACTCCTACGTTGTCACGGAAAAAAAAAATAGGTGTTCCTATACAGTGTTCCTGAGTGTAGCAAACTTTCTGTGACTACAGAAAACAAACCCCCCCCCCCAAAAAAAAAAAAAAAAAAAAACATCAGGTTATATCCTAGGACAGGCCAGCAAATGCCAGATGATCCTCTGGAAAACCTACAGATGGAGTCCAATCTCCTAGAATGTCCTGTGCAGCTAAAGCGTCAGAGACCAGTGACAGGGCAAGCTGCTCCCGAAAGGAGGACAACATCGCCCAGAGTCACTGGGTAACTTGGTCAGTATCTGACTGTGGACGCCCATGCCGAAGGAGGGGTGAGGACAGCCATCTCCCCCGATCTCGCCACACACTTCACACACCCACGGCGCCACCCCAGATCTCTGCACAGCCCTGGTTACCCCACCCCTGAAACGAGGGGAAGTGGGCCCTAAAAGGTCTAGGATAAGATAGGGAAGTGGAAGAGAAAGGACAAGGGGGCAGTGGGGCAGGTACCTGAGACAGAGATGATTCCAGGTCCTTAATGCCGGATCATCGCCGAGGACCCACCCGGCTCCCGCGGCTACCAGTGAACCAGAAGGTGTAACTGACCAAACGCTGCGGCGCAACTGACTCTGCTCTCCCCAGACTCGCAGCTATGGCAACTTGAACTAGCCGCCCAGCCGCAGCGAGAGTACAGGACGCTGGGCTGTCGCTTGGCCCTCTGGGAGTTGTAGTCCATCCCTTCTCAGGAGCAGGGAGATACCAAGGGAGAGCGACCCCAAAGGAACTGCAAGTCCCAGGATGCTAAGCGACAGGTCTTCGGAGACTCTCCGGAAGAAGCGGGCTTAGTAGGCTCTGGAGTCCTTCGGCCGCGCCCTCTTGCCCTGTTCTAATTTTTTTTTTCTTTTAAAGGGCCAGAAGCTCGTGTAGGCGGCTGTTTTGGCTCTTACTGTAATTTTACTCCTTGAAGAACAGGGAAGGATAGTTCCCAGCAGTGAAATGTAAAAATCCTCTTAATACCAAGGCCCTGTGTCTTGTTAAAAAGGCTCAAAAATTCTTGGAGGGAACAGAGATTATCTAGTCAAACCCGTTAAGCCTAGAAAGAGGAGACTCACCTAAGATCATAGCAAACCGAGAGTGTGAGGCTGACAGTTCACTACTGCTGTGACCTTCAGATCTGGGTGTCATGTCCTCTCTCATTCTAAATCATGAAAGAAATGCTTTACACTCGGGGAAGTCAGTTCCAGTCATGGGGGAGGGGGCAACCTCAACAACAACAGCAACAACAAAACAAACCAACAACAGCTTTGGAAAGCAAAGAAGAAGTCAAAATCAAATTAGTCACATGAATGGACTTTTCCTTTTACTCTGCCAAAAAGGGCACTGACCTGCCCCCTCCTAGAGGGATAAGAGGATAAATTTTACTTTATCTGTTAAATTTTTCCTAGTTACCTAAAGAAGAGCAAGATCACCTTGCATGATGCCTGTTCCCTATTGTAACAATTGTAACAGTTGTAGATGTAGATGTGGCAGATATTTTTTATATACCCACTTTGCCCCTTTAACTGGAAATGATTCTACTACAGCATAGGGCACTCAAAACCCTTTTCATAGTATAAATAGATCCATTTCTCAATTGGTCTCCTCCATTAGCCCTTCAAACAAAGGGATCTTGTGGCTTCTCATCCTTTCCTCACTTCTCCATCTCCCTTTCCCAACCCCCACCACACCCAGAATCTTAAATAATTACTACTCAAATTGGATACAATAAAATTGTCCAGATATTTTTTCTTGCAATGCTAAAATATAAAGTATTTCATATTCCATACCAAGTTTGAACATAAAATTCTTCTAAAGACCTACCTCTATGTATTTGCATCTATCTTCACCATGCTTGCTCAGAATTTTTGCTGTAGAATACACTCCACCTGTCACAGAAATTAATTCAGATAACTCAGAACATCTATAAAATTGCCCCATATGCTTTCAGAGGCATAAGTTTTCTTAACATGTTAATTTTTTAAAAACAATTACATTCATTCATTTAATTTGGCAAGTGTATGTTGGGTCTTTCTAGTATCTAGATGTGTTAAGCATTGAAGATACAGGGATAATGAGGAGATAAACAACATAGCCCTTTCTCTTTTTGAGTTGCTGAGCCAAGTAAGGGAAACAGTATACTAATATACGAATTACAAAGGTAGGAAATAAAACACTGCCTCTGTTTCTATAGAAAATTTTCTGGAAATTCTGATGGACTCCCCAAAAAAATGACTATCAAAAAGTTAATGTAAACTTGAGCTGCATTAATGATAATTGATTGTCAATATCCTCTCTTCACTGGTCCAACCATGTTCAGAATATTGGATTCAATTCTGAAGACCATATTTGAAAATGGTATTAGCTGAATAAAGCAAAACTCAGCCAGGTACAGTGACACATGCCTGTAATCCCATCAGCTCAGGAGGCTGAAGCAGAAGGATCAAGAGTTCAAAGCCAGCCTCAGCAATTTAGTGAGGTCCTAAGCAACTCAGTGAGAGCCTGTATCTAATAAAATACAAAATAGCGCTGGTGATGTGGCTCAGTGGTTAAGTGCCCCTCATTTCAATCCCCAGTTACCTGCCTCCCAACAACAACAACAAAAAAAAAAAAAGCAAAAGTCACAGGACACAACAGGTACCAAAGGGTAAAAAATCAGATTTGAGTTCATCATGACAAAGGGACATTAAATGCATTAATAAATTCATAGCAGCTATTTGTCATTTGGTGTATTCTCAATTGACAAATGTGACATCTAGAAAATAAAAACCCAGAGAAGCCAGATAAGAGAATCTCTCTCCTTCTTAACAAAATAGATTTTACCCAAAATTGTCTTATAGCCCCCAAAGCATATTAATTATTTTTAATTGATAGGGTAGACATATGTTTATCCATCCCCAACAACACACTCAAGCTGTCACCTGAATTTAGAGTTGTAAAACCCACAGCAATTACCATTTGCAGTACTCTTCCTTTCCAAACCAGGTAAACAGGAGCACAGAGAGATTATTATATGAAGTGTTAGTTTTCTAGGGCTGCCATAACAAAATACTACAGAAGTGTGGCTTAAACAACAAATTTAAAATAAAAAAGAAACCATATTTATGATCTACAAATCCAAGATCAAAGTGTCAGCAGGTAAGAGTTCTCCTGAGGCCTCTCCTCTTGACTTGCAGACATCAGTCTTCTCTGTATCCTCAAATGGCAGTTTCTTTGTTTGAGCATGGACGGGCCTGTTATCTTTCTTGTCTTACAAGAACACCAGTTATATTGAATTAGAGCCCCTCTTTTGTAAGTTTATTTATCCTTAATTACCTTCTTAAAGGGCCTATCTCTAAATTCAGACATATTAGGGTTTCAACAAATAAATTTTATGGGGACAAAATATAGTCCACATAACTTTGCCCAAATGGTATCTATTCAAGATTAGTGTCATGAATCACCTTCCAACTACACAACTACACATTCTGTTCTAGATGTTTAGAAGAAAGAATACACCTTACAGCTTGTGATCATCTACAGCTGTAGATGTAGATGTGGCAGATATTTTTTATATACCCACATTGCCCCTTTAACTGGAAATGATTCTACTACAGCATGGGGCACTCAAAACCCTTTTCATAGTATAAAAAACTCTGTGACTATGGCTGATAAGACAAGGAGTTACACACCTGCAATAATTTGAGCCTATCAGGCTCTTTATGCTTTGAGAATTTAAAATTGGATCAAGTTTCCAATTTATTGCCTGAATAGTCTTGATGCACAGATAAGAGCTGAGCCTGTCACAGAGATGTGGCCATCTTCATCTATGTTCAAGAAGCAGCAGGAAAAGCTAATCTGTGGGGCATTGGTGGGGGTGGAGGGTGGGAGGGAGTAAAGCATAAAGCATAAACTGTGCTTCTTTAAATACTTGTGTTCCATGATTGCCTAGAGGAAACTGGGGGAGTTAAATGCTCATGATTCTAGGCCCAGACCACTTAGATTCAAATCTTAACTGTAATACCTATTAGCTATGTGACCTCGGTCAATCGACTTAATCTGTGCCTTCATTTCTCCTTTTGCCAAATGTGAATTAGAATGATATCTCATGGGCTGTGGCTCAGTGGTAGAACGCTTTGCTAGCACATGTGAGGCATGAGGTTTGATCCTCAGCACCACATAAAAATAAATAAAATAAAGATATTGTGTCCATCTGCCACTAAGAAAAATATTTTTTTAAAAAAGAATGATATGAGCAGAATTGATTGGGGGACAAAATAAAGTATGTGAAGCATGCAGCCCAGTGCTCACAGTGAGTGTTCTTGGACCTATAAACTATGATACCCCACTGTGTCAGTTCCATGAACATGGGGACTTGATTCTGTTCTAGATGTTTAGAAGAAAGAATACACCTTACAGCTTGTGATTATTTCCCTTTCAAAACTTAAGTTAGTTTTGTTGATTAAAACCCAAAGACCCTTGGCTAAGATTACACTGGTGAAGCCATCCAGTCCAAGATCCAAGGTACTAATTCCACATCTAGTTTCTTGAGCATTCTCATCAGAAATACCTTTGAGCCACACCAAACATTAAACACCTGGAAGGGTGAATCAGTAAAATGTTCTAGGGAACTGGGGTTGTTGTTCAGTGGTATAGTGCTTGGCTATCTGGTGCAATGTTCTGGGTTCAATCTCCAGCACTGCAAAAATGAAATAAAAATACAGAGTTTCTGGAATGGAGCTAGTCTGAAAGCATTGACATGATCATCATAACTCAACTCGTTTTGAATGGGTAAATATGGAGAAGGGAACACAGATGTCATGTAAGAAACTGCTACCAGGCACAGTGGTGCATGCCTATAATCCCATTGGCTCGGGAGGCTGAGGCAGGAGGATAGAAAGGTCAAAGCCAGCCTCAGCAATTTAGCAAGGCCCAAAGCAACTCAGCAAAACCCTGTGTCTTAAAACACACACACACACACACACACACACACACAGGCTAGGGGTGTGGCTCAGTGTTTAAGTGCCCCTGGGTTCAGTCCCTCGGAAGGAAGGAAGGAAGGAAGGAAGGAAGGAAGGAAGGAAGGAAGGAAGGAAAAGAAAAGAAAAACTGTTTCGGTGGTTGATAGAGGCAGTAGAGTCAGAAGTTGTGATTGGCCAATACCTTGCAAACTCATACCACTGTGAAATGGCAACGGCAGACAGATTATTTCCATGTGACAGGAAAATAAATATCAAGTTTTTCTTCAAGTATTTATTTTTCCTCAAATATTTACAGGGCCCTGTGAGATTGCTCAAGTCACAAACCCATGAAGCCAGCTCTGCTCTCACTAAAGAGTCAAGGCATACGCCATCAAAGAAAGTATCATGAACAAACTCAATCCTCCAAAACCAAAGTTCTATGATTAGAAATGTGATATGACACAGAGAACAAGAAGGTCCTGAAATGGCAGGGGGAGCTGGGAGTTTTGGACATAAACACAAAAGTATAGGGGAATAGTCTATGTCCAGAGAAGTCCATGTCCAAGCAAGCAATATTCATAGCTTGTACCTTGCTATCCCACCCAATAGCATCAGGGGATGATGTGTCTTCAAAAGCAACCTCCATGTTTCCTGGACGTCCCAGCCTAAGTGATGATCACCCATAACATTAGACTTTGCTTGGTTTCATCCTGCCACCACAGATGGCAAAGCCCCCTTGTACTATCACGGGACAATATAATAAAGAAGATGCCACATAAAACACTGTAGGTAAACTAAAAAGGAAATACCCAAAATTTTGATTTGGTGGGAATGAATGAAGCAGTGGTGAAATCTTACTCTCTTAACACCAGCAGAAAAGGATCATAAGTAGTTGTTGACTCTTAAAAGTTTTAAAGCTAACTGAAAACTAAGAGTCAAAATAAAACATAAGACGTTGCATCTATGGTATTGACCACTATTCAGTTGTCATCTTTAGCTATTCATTCTGTAGAACCATGGTTGATCCCATAATATTCTTTTCAGTCATACACTTACTATTTACAAGCAGTTATCACATTCATGAGCATCAGTTTTATAACATTGCCATTCAGATGCACACCACTTTCCAATATATGGACCATGTTAATGGCTGTCCTACAAAAATGGAAAACCTAGCATTCCATAGCCCTTCTCATTTATTTGTTACATTTAGAAGGATATTTTGTGTGTTTAATGTATCTGAGTGCAAACACTTTGCTCTTCATTTAAGTTGATTCATCATCTCAACTCATGTTTATTTGCTCTGGTTTAAAAGTTATGTTCAGGTAAGAAAATTGCCTTTATGATTATCATAGCCATTTGTTGAACAGGCTATAAGAACATGTTATCCTGAAAGCTTGTTCCAATTTACTGAATTGAAACTGTTCATCATAGGATATTTTACTTACATTATGATCTACTAAGCCAATTTATGCTGTCTAAATCTTGGTTTAAAATGGTACAGATTTTAGCACACCACTTTATAGCAAAGATGGAAAAACAGAGACCAGATTTATATTCCCATCAGATTAACAAACAAACAAAAAAACAAATGTTAGCCATTCATGGCAGTGCCAAGTATGGACAGATGTCATAATAAAAAATCTGCTTTTACTAAAAAAAGGCAAAATATATGAAATAATGGTTTTCAAGTGGATACAGAAAAAGGATAGTGATCCCATTGAGAGAGGAAACAAATGAGGAAAGCTTATGACTGTTATAATTTACTGGCTTAAGAAAGTATCCAAGCCAGGGTGCAAGGAGAAGGAGCCCAGGCAGAGCCCAGCGATGCTCTAAATTAAGGAGATGAAGATGAAGGGTTGAAAAAAATGAAGACAGAACTACAGAAGGGAGAGAGCCACCAAGATGGAAAACTCCAGAGAACCCCACAAGATCTCCCATGGAATGCACAACAGAATATTAATCATTATAGATGTGAAAAAAAAAAAAACAGAAGCTGCAGAAATAAGTGTCTGAGGAGATCAGAGGGGAAAGTGCCTGTCATCCAGAACCAAGAAAAGTGTCAATACCCATCAGCCAGGTTGAAATTCATGATTCGTGAAGCATTGGATAGAGTATCTGGAAAGGTCTTCCTTCAGAAATGGAAGAATTCTTCTTCAGAAGAATTAGATTGAATGCTACTCTGTTCCTACTTAAGAAACCTTAAAAACAAGATAAAAAATATCAAACTGCTCCAAAGGAATTTAACCATATCTTATAACAAGGCTCAAGAATATTTAAATGACTGCAAAAGAAATAATGGGGTGCAAAAAGGGATAACATTTACAGTGTCTATCTTCCAAACATAGATTATCAGACATGCAAAGAAGCAAAAAAAATGCAAATTGATTTTAACTCGTGATAAAGTCTTAAGAGCAGTCCAGATTAAAGCATTTTATAAAGTAACAATGGGAGCTATAATAGAAGATTTTTTCCCCCTTGGAAGCAATGCAAGCAACAAGAAAATAGAACCATATTTTTAAAGTATTGAAAGGAAAAATTTGTCAACCTATAATTCTATACCTAGCAATGATATCCTTTTAAAAAGAAGGCAAATCAACACTTTTGCAGATACACAAAAGCTGAAATAATTCATAACCAGCAGATATGCCCTACAGGAAATGTTAATGAAAGTCTGTCAAGCCAAAGGAAAGACACAACGGAAAATATGGATTACCTCTGGGGAATGAGAAGATCAGAAAGAGTAACTCTGTTATTATTTGAATCTCTTTAAAAGATCATTGATCTTAACAAAGATAGCAACATTGTATTGTGGGGTTTATAGCCTATGTATACATAAAGTAAAATAAGACTTAAAAGTTCAGGGAGGAAAGAATAAATGGAAGCATACTTTCTAACATTCTTTTTTCTTGGGGGAAGAGGGTACCAGGGCTTGAACTCAGGGGCATTCAACCACTGAGCCACATCCCCAGTCACCCCCTCCACCATTTATTTATTTATTTATTTATTTATTTACTTACTTACTTACTTACTTACTTATTTTCAAGAGACAGGGTGTTCCTGAGTTGCTTAGTGCCTTGCTGTTGAAGAGGCTGGCTTTGAACACAGGATCTTTCCATCTCAGCTTCCAAAGCCACTGGGAGTATAGGTGTGTGGCACCAGTTGGGTCGTAAAGACTTTTAAAATGATGCAAAAATGGTTTGATAACAGCACAGACTAGGAATACTCAAATATGCATACAAAACCCCTAAAGCAATAGCAAAGTAATGGCTAAGTCAGCCAAGAAGACACAATGGAATCATAAAAATTTCTGGATTAATCCAAAACGATGCTTTTTGTAAAAAAAAAAGGGGGGGGGAATGAAATTAAACTAGGAAAATATAAAATGAACAGCAAGATTATGTACTTCAAGCCTAATATTAGTAATGATATCAGATGTAAATGATCTATACAACAGAAGTAAAAGCAATTTCTTATAAAAGGAATCATGCAGTATGTAAGGAGTTGATATTCCTTTTGTACCAACAGAAATTAGCTAAGCAATTGAAGACTTTTAAGAAGGAAATTGGCACAATCTGGTTAATGTTCCTAATTAGTCTTTTTTGGCTAATGTGTGAAGAACGATGAGTAGATAGATAATGGTGTACCACATACGTATTCCTTTTGCCCCCTTGGCGGGGGTGGGATATGAATTAATAACATTTCTAGGAAGACAAGAATTTCCAGATTTCCAGCCAGCCTCAAATATGTATCCCGAGGCTGGAGTGCGATCCATTTGGGGTACCAGGAAGGGTTTCTGTCTTTCCCGGTTCTCCCCAGCAGATGGCCCCAGAGCCCGGTTCCTGACTCGCCTGGAGGAGTAGCGAGGCTGCGGGGAAGAGATGGTCGCCTCCTGGAGGATGCTGGCGGCGACTCCTGTGGGAGAGGGCCACTGGCGCGGAGCGATCGGGGTGGGCGCTGGAGTCGGGCGGCCTCGAAGATCAAAGGTCCGCCAGGGCAGTCGCGCGCCCGCTTGGGCTGCACCCGGGGCTGGCCTGGGCGGTGTGCCAGCCCCAGACTCTCAGCAGCGAAGTTGAAGTTCAGCAGCACCGTCCAATCCAAGCTGGCTTTCCCGGGCTAAAGTGCGTGCGGGTGGGTCCTGGGCACGGAGAAAGGTGGTGTTTTGCATTTTACAGAAAAAGTAGGGAGAATGGTTTCTAAAGGAGGCTTTGGAGAGAAATAGTAGGAAGGAACGCGTTGGGGTGGGTTAGAAAACAGAGGGAACAGCCCGCACCGGTGCCTGGGAACAGACGGAGCGGGCTGCGTGGCTCAAGCCAAAAAAAAAAAAAAAAAAAAAGGGGAAAAAGTAGGCTTGTTTGGGTAGAGAGTTGCCTAGGGAAGCTGAGCACTTGAGAGCCTCTCCTCCCTCTCCAGCCTCCCCTGCGGTGGTGAGGTCACAGCCTCTTGGAGTCCTCCCTCCTCCCACCCCTCCGGCTCCCTGATCTCCCTCTGCCTAGGGGAATCGGAGGCGCAAAGGACTGAGAATAAGAGGAGAGCTCAGGATGAAGACATAGCCTTGGGGACCGGTAGAAAAATGAGGCTGGAGTCCCTGCTGCAGCTGGTATTGCTGCTCTCCCTGCCCAGGAGTCTGGGGGGCAGGGGGTGTCCATCTCCACCCTGCGAGTGCCACCAGGAGGACGACTTCAAAGTCACCTGCAAGGATATTCACCGCATCCCCAGCCTACCGCCCAGTACGCAGACTCTGTGAGTACACGGGAGAGGAAAGGGTAGGATGCAGAGGCCAAAGACACCTGGAAAGGTGGACACTTGGAAGTGCACGAAACAGCTTGAAAACTGGCCAAAGTAGATTGGTATATTGTGTGTGTGTGTGTGTGTGCGCGCGCGCGCGCTCGCATGTATCTGTCCCTAAGTAAAAATGTCATCAAATCACACTTGGAAAGTTATCATTCCTGACACCCTCGTGTTTTAACAAAAGAAAAGGTAACAAAACTCTGGTACGAAATGACTCATTGAGGTGTTCTTTCTAAAATGCTACCTTTATGCACTTCACCTACTCCTATCCCTGAATGAATCTTGGTTTCACTTCCAATATTACTAAGATTAAAAGCAATTCAAGAACAAACTTTGTAAATTTTATCTTGGGTTACAAAAATTGCAAAAAAAAAAAAAAATTCTCTTTTTAGTTTTTCTAGATAAGAAATTGTCTTAGTTCTGCTGATTTATCAAATAGTTGTCAAAAAATTAATCAGGAACCCATTTAAAAAATGTACCCTTCACCCAATATATATAATTCCTTAATGGTGAACTGCCCACCAAGGAGTGCATCTAGAACTCCTCTTTTTGATAGACATGGTAGAAGTGTAAAGCAATGAAATTTCATGAACCATGTTTTTTTTTTAATCTGAAGATTAAGTTAGAAATTTGGTGGCAACTAAAATCACTCATACACACACATGCACACACTCAGGTACACACACAATGTTTCTTAACAGAAATTTAAATTAATGATTATTGAAAGGATAACTGAAGTCAACACTGAGGTAAAAGGGCTTTTTAATTGATTAAAAATAAAAAAACAAAAAAGAACAGAAAGAAAGAATGATCAAACAACCTGAAAGGTTACCTAGTTAAAGTAAGAAAATACAGACTACTTAAAAAAAAAAAAAAGTAGATGGCTGGAAAACAGTTGTATAGTTCTCAAGAATTCAGCTCATAGGAACACTCAACAGTTGATCATGAATGTCGTAGCCTAGGTACATATTTCTGTGCTTGAAGAGATCCTACTTTCTTATATCACTTGGATTAATTAGTGCAATAACCTCTAAGCACTTCTTCATTCTCCATGATGCCATTACAGAATAAATTCTCATCTTCTTGATGAAACTGCTACATTGGTTCTGTACAGCTTCTAGAATAAAATCATTCTGTTCACACTGTAAGATCTGGCCCAGTATGTCAAACCTCTCTGCTTCTAATTTATCTGACTTCCCACTCCTACTGAGCACAACTTCTAACATATCCCCCCCAAAGTTCTCTGCTTACACCAGTGCCCTTGCTCCCCCCCCCACCATTCTATCCCCCACCAGAAGTGCCTTCCCCCTTTCTTTGTCTGGCTTGTGTCTATCTAGTTTGGGAGTCAGTTCCTTTAAGAAGCTTCTCCTGACCATGATGCCTAGGCTGGGTGAACAACCCTCCTTCTCAATGTTCTATGCATGAATATGACCCTAGCCCTTATATACTGTGTGTTTTCCTATGACTTTTTCTTTTGGGGACTAAACCCAAGGGCACTTGACCACTGAGCCACAACCCCAGCTTTTTTTTATTTTTTATTTTGAGACAGGATCTCACTAAGTTGCTTAGGGCCTCACTAAGAGTTGCTGAGGCTGGCTTTGAACTTGCAATCATCCTGCCTCAGCCTCCAGAGTTGCTGGGATTACAGGTGTGTGCCACTGTGCTTGGCTCCTGTGACTCATCTTTATTCGCATACCTACCAATGTAGAAATGAAGTCCTCTAACACAGTGACCCTGTCACTCTGAATTCCTCAAACCCAGCAGAGAAACTAAAACTGTTTAGAAGCTCAAATAAAGCTCACATGAATGAGTGAATAAATGAATATGGTGGCCACAGGTTGTCCACTGGGTGGTGGGAAGACCAGAGCACAAAGTTATCAGTGGCAGAATTTCAAGAGTCCTTGGAGAGAGATGTGGCTCTGAGAATGCAAAGGAACTCAGAATCATGTTGAGTGAAACTGCACCACGTGTTGAGAGAAGGACTGTCAGAGAACAAGCCATGGGATAGGAGTCGAGAAACCCTCCACTCTTCATTCTTTCCTCAAGAAACAGGGTGAGATCCTTTATTTGGAAGATTTCAACTTTTGTTCAGAGTAAAATAAAAGGTTCAATTAGGTGCTTTCTGATGTCATGATGCTATTGAGTATACTCTGAGGGAAACCACTGAATCACAAAGCGTGATTGGATAAACACAGCAAGGAGCATGTGACCTTGAGAATAATGGGGACAAGGTACTGTGTTCTGAACAATGAAAACTTTCTGAGACGGGGAAGAGAAAACTGATGAAAAATGTGGGTTAGATGCTATGGTGTTCTCATTTAAACAACAACTACAACCATCTGTGACAGCAGCAAAGTGATTTTTTTAATCTTTTGGGGGCAGTAGAACTCTTCCGTCAAAGGAAAGACTATGGGAGAAGTCAAATACGTAAAGCTAATGGTTGTGCTGTGCTTATTTATGTGGGGCCCTGTTCTCAGCACTTTGCATCAATTTACCCATTGAGTCCTCACAAAATCCAAGTAAGTTGGTGATTTTATTATCCTCGTTTATAAAATGGGGTCATTGAGGCGCACACACACACACACACACGTGTCACTCAGCTTGTAAACGGTGGAGACAGGATTTGAAATATCATATTGAACTTCAAAGGCTGCCATCAGATGTACGTGGGTCTTGCCCTGCCAGCTTTCCCCCAGGATGGTCATGAGGTTTTAGAGATAAAAGTTTGAAAACCAGTGATGTCCAATAAAACACATATAACCTTGAGGGACGTTGGCCAGAGAAGCATGCAAGAACTCAGAAATTAGGAGGTTGGGGGAAAGGAAAGAAGGGAGAGGAAATGAGAGAGAGGGTTGAAGAGAGGGAGGAAGGAAGGGAGGGAAAGAAAACTCACCTTTTAAGTTATAGAAGGCATTCCCTGAGGCACCAAACCATATCTTTGCCATTAATAAATAACTTGTTCAAGGTAGCAATCCCTTTTCTGAAACTACTTAAATTAAAAGATCCGTTGCTGAGGGATGTTTTCTGACCAGAGCTATGTTATTGTTTAGATGTACCTCTTTTTGAAGTTTTTGAAGATCCTGCACTGATTTAAATGGAAGGACTTGTGCTCTTGCAGTTACTTGCCTTATTTCTGTATCCTTTATCCAGATGCTACAGAATCACTGCTTAGCCATTTTACAAATTACCATGGTGCTGAGAATAATTTTTCCTAAGCCTTAAACTTCCACCCATATTTCATGGTGTTGAAAGGTACTGCACAGGCCTCAACTTTCTGTGCTACCCATACCCATGGCCCATGATGTCTGGGAGACAGTTACACTGTTTGTGTCTCTTACTGAAGAGGTAGTTCTGAGTCTTTTCCTCACCTGTGTCCTCCAGTGGTCATGCGACAGTGACTTTAACAGGGCCGGGGTGCCAGGGGGTGAGGGGGTGAGGAGAGGGAGAGCTAGTTCTCCCACTCCCCAGTGGAACATTCAACAATCTCTGATATGCAGAAAGTCTGAAAAAAATTGACTCTCAATTGGGAATTAGTGATTTAAGGTAATTTAAATGAAGCAAAAGAATAAAATTATAAATTTAAATTTGGGGGCTGGGGTATAATGTAGGTCAGTAATAGAGGCTCTGAATTTGAGTCCCAGTACTGAAAATTTTGGAATATAATTATAGATTATAATGAATATAATAGAATATAATTATAGATTATAATGACCTGAAAATGAAGCTTGGCAAGACTGATCCATCAATCTCTCGTATTCAGAAAGTTGACATTTTTTTTTTACCTCTGTGTATAAGAGGACCATCCTTCTCTGAATGAGACATTGATAGTCATTCTAGATTTGTGTGGATTGTTCCTCCAGAAAGTGCCAACTTGCCTTGCCTTGTCCCTTTAACCTACCCACTTGCAGTTTCATCGTGGCAGTAATTGCCATCTCTCCTTCCTCCAACCCCCACCACTGTTTAGGGTCTTAGGATTCAATGCAGTAAATGGTTTTTCTACCACACACGTGCTTCTCTTCAGAAATGTTTCTGAAGGAGTGGCTGTCTGTATTGTGATTTTCAGGTTATTTTTAGTCGTTTGCATGCTGCATCTGCACACTATCCCAGTGTTTTCTAAACTAGATAATCATTCATCATCTTTGGGATTTTTGCCCTGTGTACCATCTGTGCTACTATTTCCTCAGTATATTTTAAGTAGACCACTTTTTTAACTGAAAGAAATTTATTTAGGAAAGCATACATTGCTGCTATAAATGCAAAATTATCATGACTTATTTAAGTGAGAGGTAAACAGAAAACTGAGTATAACAAAAACAAAAATGTAATGAAATTCTAGGCATAGGTTATTGTCTGTGAATGCTGTGAATACAAGGCTCCCTTCTCTTTGCAAAGAGAAAGAGTACGAAGTGTTGAGAAGCATTAAACAGATCCAACCCTACTCTGTGTCCTTGATAGTATCAGAAGGACTGAAAGACAATAGGAAAAGGAATCACTTTTTCACTGTGTGATTCAATATTATTTCACGCTATGTAAGCTAATCTCATATATCTTCAAATCATCCCTGTTCCCCATATTTCAAAATGGTTTTAGTAACAGTCAGTGGTCACAACATGAATAACAATTGGTTTCTAACCTAAAAAAGAGGTTCTCTATGCCCAGACAACACAGCCCAATAAAATAGAAAGAAAGAAAGAAAGATAGAATCGATCTTGCACCGTGTAATGACATATCAGTTAATGACAAACCACATAAACAATAATATATATGTAGTATAGCCTAGCTGTGGAATGGGCTATACAAACCACCATCCAGGTTTTTATAAGCATATTCTATGATATATCACCACCATTAAGTGATGCATAACTCTATATAAAAATAAAATTTAAAAAAATATGTGTAACCCCAGGCACAGTGGTACACACCTATAATCCCAGCAGCTTGGGAGTCTGAGG